AAAAAAAAAAAAAAAAAAAAAAAAGCAATGATCTCTCTTTTTTTTTTCCACGTCCGTTTTCTTTTTTGTCTTCTTTTCCCTCTCTCCTGCCACTGCCCGCGCATTTCCACATTGTATACCACAAGGACATCTTGCAGTCCTTGTGGGAGATTCCCATGGGGCCACCAGCTTCCTGCCCCTTTGCCATGCCAAGCCTCACCCGACCCCCTAAAGTTGCGGCGCGTTAACGGCCGCGACTTTTTTTTATAGCTGGGCGAGGTACTGGTGGTTTAAAGGTGCGTGCAGCTCCAGATCAACAGGGGCAAAACAGTCGGTCTAAATGCAGACCCATATTGCGGGATTGTCCTGCCAACATTCTTCTTTTGACCAGAGGCCGTTCGCCTGGGAAATTGGATGCTGTTGTGAGTACAACAGGGTGTGGTGAGTGCGTACAGCACTAGGCCTTCAGGACATGGCTATCAAGGCAAAAATACGTAACGCTGCATGCATTTTTCCTAAGATGGGGTAGGATACGGACAGGATGAAATAGCCGACGACGGACTCCGATTGATCTAGATAAAGGAAAGCAAAAGGGGGGGACGAACGCAGGCATCGGGCCAGATTTGCGGATGCCTTGAAATCTGGAGACCCCGCCACCACTGACAAAGCGCATGTAAACGCTCTCAGGCCACGATTCACGAGGACCGGCGGGTGAAGGCAACAAGCCTGAGGGCATACTCACACAGGGACCTATATTCCCAAAATCCCAAAAAAAAAGGGAATGGCCAGTCACACGGATCTACCAAATCCACAAATGTACTATTCCTGTGCCCATTTGTCAGCGGCCTGGGAAGCCGCGGGGCAAGGGATTTTGCGATCACCTCTAGAGGTGACCGCAAATGCCCTACTTCATTTTTCGCATCTTCTTCGAAATTTGGCAAAATTTGTTCACAAAAGCTCTTGCACAATTCGAGGCTGGCGTCGTGTGACCAGCCAAGTACCAAATCCCCATTTCTCCAAACGGCGGTGACCTTGTCCCATCTGAACAGGTACATCGGTGTGACATGAACGATGCCCAAAACTTCAAATCCGCCCTTCCCGAATCTGCATATTTTGCGGATTTGGGGTCGTAGTGTGAGGACACCCCAAGTCCTACCAGGCATGCGGAATTGGGTCGGGGGGAGTAATAGGAGCGACGCTGATGAGAAAGGGACATTGGGAGACAACGGGAATCGGGGGGGAAATCTCTCCGAACAAGGGGAACAACGCGAGCGAGGTACCATGTACCCACTTCTGTCCTGTCAGTTATGGACGCCATTGCCTGGATCAACACAGAAATGCCTTGGAGCCGCAGTTCGCGAGCTCGTTCGAACGTAACGCGCGTGAGTGTTACCAGCTCCCCCATGGAGGACTTAGGGGATTGTAAGCAGAAAGAGATTGCCTAACTGGAGAGGTGGACAAGGGCAAGACAATCACGGTGACCATCGAAGCCAACAGCGAGGAGATCTACTTGTGTGAACCTGGACGCGCGTTGTTCACTTTTTCTAGTCGGCCCTCTTCAGGCGACTAGAAAGCCGACAGGCTGTCACGCAGGATTTGGATGATGATTGCAATAAATAAAATAAATAAAATGAAGCAAATCCCTTCCTGTTGTGTGCGTCCGGCTTCGAGCGAGACCCTTCAATTATGGTCTTCGCCGGCCCTCGGTCTTAGGAATCTTTTATTTTGATTCGGAACAACAAAAATCATGCACATATTAATCATAAAATTCTGGTATGTCATGCATGCATCAATTTTGCCAAATTTCAAAATTTGAGAACTGTGACATGATTATCAGCGAACAAGATCATCAAATAAATGCAATGTAGATGAAGCAAGACTAACTGACTCGAGCAGAGAAGCAATAATTGAGGGAAAAATGAGAACTCATAATAATCTCAAGGAGTACACAAGAAGAGAGCATGACCAGCACTAGTCTTGAGTCTTCATTTATCCCTCTAAATCACACTCTCAATCTCTCGTTTTACTGTGTGTTTCCTGTGCTTCGAGCCATGTCTCTGT